GTCACGTTCACTGAAAATTGGAAAGTACTTTGAGGTATAAAATCGATGCACAACCATCGCCGGTGTCACCGTTGTCGTTTACTTCGAATAAAAATAGTTTACACGAACATCGGGTCAAATGTTGTACTTTCTTTTTCTTTTTTTTCCCGAGAATCTGTCCTTTTATTTGAGAGGTTACAACTTATAACTTATAAGTGACAACAGTGACTATTATAAAAATATTTTTTGTTATACAGTTATTATAATAATTGGTGAACAAGAAAAATATCGCTTGAAAAATAGTTTTTCCTATTAAATGTATTTGCAATAGTTTTTTAATATTACATTATAGATTTTACATAGGTAGTCAAATCAACGTCATTTTTTCTATTTGAGTGGGTAGTCAAAACCCTAAGAACTATATGTAAATTTAAAAAATCTTATTTATATCCTCAAAAATAAAATCGTATTCCAGACACAATAATGTACTCCATATCTGTCGGTCAATAGTTATTATTGTATTCCAACAAAGAGAAATTTCTCTGAAATCACCGAAATATAATGTATTATACATTTTATTTCTAACACTTATAACGTGTACTTATAGTCGATTTTATTTTCAAGTTTTTTTTTTTTTATAAACCTTTAATATAGGTAGGTAATATATTTATTATGGTCAATATAGGCTATCGGACAGTGTAAAGTTTAAGAGGGTTTCTTGAACAATTCATTAAAATACTATTTTTCTCGTAATAAATTAGGTATTGTAACTTAGTTTAGAAAAAAAAATTAAAACAAACAGCAGTTTGATTAAATTAGCAACTTAAAAGAGACACAACTTTTCCGTTAATTTAGTACGTATTGACGGCAACTATATAAAGTATTTGAGTAAAAGTATTCAAATACTTTTTAAATACCTACTCAAATATGTATTTTAAATACTTATTCTTTTTAATTTATATATTTTCTATTTTCAATTTAATAACGTAAAAAAATGTGAATACCTATACAACAATATTTTTTTTATGTGACTCATTTTATACCCAACCTACAATATTCGAATACCTTAATAAAAAAAAAAAAAATGAATAATTCTTAATCACTAAAAATTATACAGTTTAAACATTTTCAGTAATACCTATAAATGAAAAACAAGTGAAAATGCTAAATAAAATCAGCTTAGTTGATTTTTGACGTATCTATAATAATTACTTCTAAATACTTTTCAAAATAAGCATCTATATCTGTATATGTATTTAAATACTTGAATACTTTTAAAAAGTACCAACGATATAACCGTTGACAAGAATTGCTTACCGACGTATTTTTATAAAGTAATTGTATAGACTATAGATTGTATACTATAGAACTATAATAACTCAACAAAAAAAGAGTGCGAAATTACTCTTTACTTTTTCTGTTTGTATTACAACATTTCAAGTAGGTACTGCATGTGTCCTCGTACGAGTTATACCCATAACATTTTTGATATTACCTCGTAAACTATGGTCACTTCGATATTATTTAATTTTACAAATTAATACCTATGGGTAAATTGGCATGTCACAATTTGAAAAATTTGAGTTTTTAGTTTTCATAAATTGAATGAATGGTTAATCATTTTTTAGTTTTTTACCTTTAAAATGGTGTCATTATATTTTTAATTCAAAATATTGTTCTATTCTTTGTTTAAAATTTGAAAAATAATTTCATTAAATTAAAATGGACAAACAACGTTTAAAAAGTTAAAAATTGAACTAGAAAAAAAAATTGTTAACAGTTTTTATATTTTGTCTAAAACTAAGCATTATATGTACCTAATAAAGCTGTAGTTAACGCGCTAACCGAGGTTTGTTAAGTAATTATAAATATTCCAAAAATATATAATTTGAGTACTTATATTTCCGATCAAAAATTTGCAGTTGCTTAATATCTGCCAATGTACACATCGAGCAGCAGTCCACTTTGCCTATAAAATAAAGAAATATTAAATTCAGTTGGATTTTCGTACTAATTATATGCGCCATATAGGTAAACGTAATATTCCATAAATACTGTATAATATGTGAATAACTATATATAAGTATATTTGAGTGACGAACGACAAGCGTATTTTAAGACAATGTAATGCATAATAAATGTGTATAATTTAGAATTTTGGACTGCCGCATATTTAATTATATATTTATATATAAATACTCAATAGTTAATACTGAATATTGATTATATTACAATATATATATATTTTTACCATTCTTTTAATAATAATCAATAATATTTTTAAAGAACAAAACGTTGGTATTGAATACATTTTTAAGTCATCTATCAATTGCAAAATTTTAAAATAATGTAGCTATGAAAAATATGAAGAAATTTATCAAAAAAGGCATTTAATTAATATTAGCTTGCCAATACTTGTAAAATCAAAAAACAAATCAATATATTAAAATTATTTAGATAAATAAAAAACATGATTCTAAATTAATTTATGATATTATGTACCTACCGATAAAATATATTTTAATACAATATTTTTTTTTAAAATTTAAAATCACAATTTGACGATTACGCTGTTTATCTAGGTTGTTTATGTTTACTTTTTGAAAAATTAAGCTATAGTTTTACTATATTTTTTGATTAAATGTATAAATCAAGAATTTTATCTCGGTGTCAAGTAATTTTCTTAAAAAGTTGTTTAGAATTTAAAATCAAAAAGTTCTAAATTTATATTAAAATTAAGAGACTATATCGTATTTTTTTTCATTCAGAAAATATGAGTTGGAAAAACGCCAAAAGTTCTTTTATGTGTTCACAGCGTACTGTGTATTGTATTTTCACCTTATTGTTCAAACAGTACGGAGGTACTTTATTATATTACATTTTTTTCTACTTTAAATAACAAAAATATATATTTTGTGTATAATTTCTTTATAACTTTATAAGCCAATGCAAATAATATGTTTCTTAATCTTCTTCTTTTTTTTTTTTTAAACAATATTAGTAAAAGTTGTTGGATACACCTACCTATGGTTTAAATTTATTTTAATAATACCGAATAATAATTTAATCGAGCACTACATGTATTTTAGTGGAAATCGAAAGCATTTAACGTGTTGACTGCTGAGACAACAATATTATAATATTTACACTATTCACCGAAAATAGTCCGTTGTCACTTGTGTAGTTGTGTTATACAATTTATTGAAAACAAGATAAATTGTGAATGCGGTAAGTACTTACTTCCAGAGAATATTTATTGAACAAAATGAAAACGCCATTCAAACTGCAAAGGTGCATTAAAATATTACATTTGAACTTTAAAAAAATAACTCGAACACGTGGTTCATAAATATCGTATCGTCGCTTCGTATTGACTGATTCCGCAGTAAATGTAGCGACTTACTAATAAAAGAATAATTATTTTATAAAGAAAAAAATTTAAATTGAAACTCGAATAAATAAAGTGAACGGCGTTTCGCACATAAATTGTAAGCACATTGCATAATACACTATCTTACAATATTTTTAATGCAACAGTTCGATTGTAAGTGAGCATCTTGTAATGTACCGAACGCGTCTTCAATATATATGGGTGTATAGACAGTATAATATATACTTAATAATTTATTTGTAGTTTCTAAAACGGTTTTGTTTAATAATAATTGATGGGAAAAAAATTAAGAAATAAAAGCTATTGGTACTTAAATCTGACTTAATGGGAAGTATAAGTATAAGTGTATATTGCCATATATGTATATGTATAATATATAAATATATATTATAAATTCCAGAAAAAAAGGTTAAGTATACTATAGTATGCACATATAACGCTGATTCAGGGGCGCCATTTCAGTTTTAAAATAGGGCTGCCAAATTTTTTTACCCGGCCACATTTTTCTACCATCAGGCCACAGCGATAACAATGAAAATTGAAATATTACATATTCAATAAGCTGTTATGTAATCTATAAGCCTAATTCTAACATTTAATAATAGCACCTTAATTAAAAATGATTAGTACCATAAATTAAAGACACACTTCGGCATTGGCGCCAACATGAAATTGAGGCAGGCCAATTATTATGGTACGGGAAAAAATAGGGCCGCCAATACCCTGCGACACCCAAAATGGCGCCACTGCGCTGATTGCCGGTATATGCGTTCTACTGGACCGAAAGAAAACGGAAATAATTCCAAAGTATTTTTCAATGCTATCAAATAAGAGTTAAATTGATTAAAGTTCTCTATATTGATTGCAATATCGTAATTGAAAATTGATAACATCTTAAAGTGTGATTTTAAATTAATACTTCGGTGATTTGGCTTTTGTCATCCGGCACACTAATGCGCCAAGTCCGTGTGTGACAATTATAACTGTCAACATTCCAATTTATGCCTTTAAATATTTACTTTTATTTCTACACACCTCATTTGAACAGTCCACTAATATAATGGTTAACTATTGTAGTGGTTACCTATACGGCTATACCGTGGATTTATGAAACTAAAATAACAGATTTTTCTTTCAATATTGGCGGACTCGAAATCGTCAGTGTATGTGTTCGATTTAGTGTTAACACAGTATAATAAATTAAAAATATCATTAATTCCATATAAATATCTTCAAAACTTACTGTATCGTTTTTCGTAATTTCTCAAAAACTTTTTTAATGACTTATAAGTTTGATTTTTGATCATGAAAAAAAAAAAGCAGTTCGTTCAAAATACGTCAAGATATGTTTCATAGGAAACCGAATCTCGTCACAACTACTGGAAAATATAAATACGAAAGGGATCGAAACCATAATTAAATGAAGATTGTAATTATATTGAAATTAAACGATAGCCGCACCACAGTAGAAAGTTAAAAACACAATGGTTTTATAATGTGAGAGTAAATTACGAAAATACTTCGTTTCCATAATTTCTTTTCTCTTACCCTTTATCGGGCACACACTGATTAAAGTTTCGCTTTAACTTTGCCGGAATGCGTCCTTGTAAACGTCATACTTTTTTTTCAGGCGTTGTACCCGGCCACTCCATCGACCACGGTGCCTTCGATTCCGGCAAGGCGAAACCCTGGACCGCCAGTGATAAGTCCTCGCCCAGCCCAATACAAGTTGCCACCGCCGCCGCGAGCGACCAATGGCTGTGCGGGCGATCCACCGGCCGACCGGCAGACCATCAGAGGGTTCATCGATGACCATCCCAAAGACGTGGTCGTGGTCCAACAACAGCCTCTGCAACCGCAGCAACCGCAACAACCACAACAACCGCAGCAACCGCAGCAGCCACCGCAACTGCGCGCAAGAAGATTCAAAGTACCGCCACCCATCAAATGCATTTCAGAGCCACTGGACGGTGGCAGTCGCGAGAGTTACGAGATGATGACGCCCGCCATGACTATGTCACCCAATCGACAGGTGAGGCGATAAGAGAGCAAACGGTATTTCGATTGACATTATGTAGTAATAGTTATTGTCTGTGCCGTTGGATCGACTACGTGTAAATAGTACATACCACCATATCCTTTGGGCATTATTTGGGCATTAGACTCGTGTATTGTGCTTGTGCATATTGTCCAGAATGTCGGCTGTTCTTGGGAAATCCATATCTCGTACCATCACATTTCAATAAACAACTGTTCGATAAAAAAAATAAACCTTTAACGGATTGTTAGTCATAGATAGGTTAAGTTTATTGCTATAAGTTTATAATATATTATATTGTTTACAATCGGATGATCATAACGATATTATTATTTTTTTTGATTCAGCGGCAAAATATGTTTATCCAGGCCCTAAAATAAGTAATCCTAACGCGATAATCTCGAGTAGTGGTTTAAAATCGGGGAAAAAAGATATCTAAATTTGTTTTACGTACCTACCTATTATTTCTTTAATGCTAAATTCCTCATTTATTTTCTCATACTCACATTAAACAAAGCATATTACATCCAAAATCGCAGATGTTTAGGTACCGTAGCTACGACATAGTAGTTCAAAGAAAAGATTTTAAACTATATGAATAACCTGCAAAAATACTATTGGGGTAAAAAATAAATTTTAAATCTTCCTTTATTCCAATTTTTATTTTAATCAATTATCTCTTTTTTTGCTGCAGGAAATATAATTTAATACATACGTAACATAATACCATAAAATGCTTTTGAAAATCATGAAATAACTACTAGAGATACTTTAGAAGTAATATGAGTTCATTTATATAACTATTAAATATATCTTTGGAGAAATGGCAATGAAAATATTTTTAAACATTTGTAGAATTAAACTTGGTTATCTTCAAAAAACATAGCAGGCCAAAAACTTCCTAAGTTAATTAAAATTTGCAAGGATAAGCTGATAATCTTAAGCAATTTATACTTAGTGGTTAGAATAGTTTTCAGTAAAATCCTAATGTTTTAATTTAAAATTATCATTTTTATTTCTTTTACTTATAACATTATTTTTGACAAATTAACTTATATCTAAAATCAAATTGTTTAATGATTTAGTTTTCAGATACGATACTCTAGAAATACTTAGACCGTAGCTACTAAAATAATGTTTATCTATATATTATTGAGCGGTGTGTTAGTTACAAATATAAACAGAATAAAGTGTAGTCGTTCTAGCTTATGGACGAAATGATTTTGTCATTTTTATATTATACGACGAGATATTATATGTTCATACTGTATGGGTATACGCATTATACAGATATTATGTAATATACGTAATAAAAACGATATTACCCATGATAATAATATGACCATATTACATAGGAGATAGTTCCGTATCCGAGCAATCAACAGCATCGATTTATACAAATCACATTATGACAGGAGGAAAGATATATTTTATATAGGTATTAATAGATTACGAAATAGACTACTATTGTAGAGTTAAAACAAATATACTTTTAAAATAGTCCAAATCAATTTAAAACTTTTTAAGATCAAAATATATATACCTATTGTACTGGTGGGAAGTTGCTTGGAGCTCAGTAAGTTTATGCACAAACGATGTGTTTCTGGCACTGTTAGGATAATTAACTGTATACAGCCATACTATACAGATCCATACAGATGGAGTCGATGTGACCTCTGTCTGTGTGTAACATGTAAAAAAGTGATTAGGTGTAGTATAGATTCCTAAAATTTGTATAAGATTCGAGGCTGACTGTTCTTACGGTACGATGACATGTTGTTTGACTACCTGACAAAGATTATGGTTTTTTTTTTTTGAGGGGGGGGGTCCGATTTATGATATTTCCAAATTATTTTGCATGCATATTCCAAAGCAGCTCACTATGTTCATCTATAACTTAATGATTGTAGACGTAACACCATATTATCAAACATTACCTATGCTGTAATACAATAATCTTAATAGTGATGTATATTAATATTCATATTGGGTATGACTCATAAACTACACGTTAACAATGTCCCATTAACACAAAACAATTTAGGAATCATTTCGGCTTTAAGACCATTAGTATTGCTTAATCGTATTAGATAGTTTTCATACATAGGGGAGCGAAATTAAAGTTCGAAATTTTGCAAACTTTTGTGTACTTGATTGATTTTTAAGCAAATATTTTTCAATATGAAATAAACTATATAATGTTTATTATTTATACAACTTATGAGTGCTAGCATGTTGTTAGAAGGATAAGATATAATCATAGATTTTTAAAGGTAAGGTAAGGACTAAGGCCTAAGTACTCTCATCAAAACTTTTGGGATGACCGCGAGTCCCCTCGAACGCATTGCGGTTAGGTGACAGGCATCCGATTTCCACTGATTCCATAATCTGACAACACATCGGCAATAATTATCACGTCAATTCAATAATATTTTATTTCAATAACGTTCACAGGACAGCGGTCATTGGAGCGACTCGTACAGCGTCAACTCTTCGCCTGGCTACTCGACCAAGAGCATGGAAACGCCGCTGCTATCGTCGCACGCCAAAATGATACCGTCCCGGTCAAACAAGAAACGTTTCATACTCGATCGGTACGTCGTGTGCGATCAGTGGAATGGTCGGGCCAGATTTTCACCGGCAAACAGCGGCCCGATCAGCTCGAGCAGCACGGCCGAGCTCACCAAGAGCCATTCGACGCCAGCCAGCCTGCAGGCAGTCGTCGAGTTCAACGAAAACTCACCCAGCTCTCTACAACACCGGGTAACAATTATTATTTGTAGAACATTAATGTCGTCACTGAGATCGCTCCGAATTGTGTGTTGTTTTTTTTTTTATTAAATTATCGTATATATCTCCGTCTATGTCGTGCGAATTTATGTGTGTTAGTAAACAAACATGAACAATCTGCAGCAGAATTTTATAGCGAATTTACTTACCTTAAGTTTCGGAGAGAGAAAAGCTGTAGGACGATTAATTGGAGATTTTGAAAGTAATATGTAACAAAATTAAGTATTGTTTTTTTGTTGTTCGTAAAAATATTCATAAATTCATAATTGTTCTTATCCTTGTAGTTTGGAAAAACAATTTAAAATACCCCTGACTCAGCCGGCTCATTAAAATGAGTATTATTGGGGGCGATGTGATGAACGGATTAATTATACTTATTTACAGTGAATATTAAATACTTAGAAAAATAATCGTGTATGATTATATTATAATAATAACGTATAATATGTATTTATCAAACCATTAATAGTATTATCAGCATGCATTTAGGTATAAAATATTTTATAAACTATCAATAATTAATCAATGTTTGGTTTCAATAATGCACAACAATATATTAATGTATCCTTTGAACCAAAGTTTTCTATGAAATTAAATTAAAACTATTATTATTCATTGTTTTATTGATTATAAAATAAAAATCATAGACCAGGTTTAATCGTTTTTGTTAAAAAAAATATGTTTAGACGATATGTAATTAGCACAGTCCTTTGAAAAAATTATTACTATGAAGTTCAAAAAGTTGTCTGTTTAAACTTCGACTCCAAATCAGTGCTCCGTGTCTGATATCTAATCTGAACAAACTGTTCCTCTGGTTTAATTAAACTCTGATGCACTATTGTGATCAGAAAGAGTATTTATAGAAAAGTGATACCATAAATTATACAATAAAATATTGAAATGGTTACTTACCGATAAGCGATAATTTTATGAGAATGATATTATGTTAACCATAAATTTAAATTATTTTTAATCATGCCACAAATTAGTATGATTAATGTATGACAGCCAAACAACAATTAAGGCATAAGAAAAGTGTACAATCAAATATTTTAAAGTTTTTTATAAAACAAATCGTTTATAATCTTACCATCACAATATCCTAAGATTTTTTTTACTAAATAATTACATACTTATAGTTTTGACCATTTTACATTTGCCATAATTTTTAGTTTTTAAATCGTCTTTAGGATAGAAATTAATTGAATAAGTTGATACGGAGTAAAAATTTGATGTTATATTCACATTTGTATTAGTTTTTATATAAAACTTCAATGGTAAACTGTAATTTGTCAAAGGTATATATGCATGAAATACATACAATTGACGTTTCAACTTTCGGGTCTCTTTGCATTTCAGGCAACCTATAAATATTTTTTATTTGAAAACCATACATATTTTTGTGCCCAATCTTATTATTAATGGATTTATAATAAATTGATGTACATTGTATAAACCCTGTCAGAAATAAACTTGTGACGCCACTGGTTATGGGAAATTGCATCCTCCTTCCGCATAAAATCTGAACGTTAGCGTAACGAGGGTCCAACGTCATCCAGTAAGCTGCTCTGCCTTCGATTCTGAGTGGGCCTAGTTTGTTAAAGCATTTTTATAAAAATATCAATATCGAATGTACCTAGCTATAAAATATAAAAAAAAAGGTTCTTATTATGATTTTGTTGTACCTGTTCCGGTTTCAAATATTTATGATCGAATACTCTGAGAAAAACAAACAATTCACCATTCACGAATGTTATAATAATATACTAATTTAAATTAAATAAAAATTATATTATTCTGATGAAACATAACTATTTATCAATAATATAGATAAAAAAAAAATTGGACGTTTACAGTGTATTGATAAGTCATTATTATAAAAGATAATACGTACCTATTTTAAAACATAATATAATATAATTTGGAAATTATTACATTATTACCACGATAATTATAAATTTATAACTAACAGGACGGTTTGTGATTTTAGGGTACCACGGTCGCAAAGGACCGACAGGTCAGTGTTCCGAGATAATTAATATTAATGTATATTAAATTATTGAGCATACGTCATGTTTAAACGAAGTCTAGTGACAAAATAATTATTTTCGCTTACATAGTTAATATTATGATCATAAATCGTTCAATACTAGGGAAAAGTCAACCGTCGAGTTTTAGAGGATAGATAAATATTACAAAATATTTTATACACATGACGTGGAAAGCTCTGATAAAGTATATTTTTACTCCAGTATACATTTTGCAGGTTAATGTTTTTAATTATTATGTATACCATAATTTCAAAATATAAATACATTTTTTTTTCAAATTATAGTAAGCAACAAACATTTTTGTATGATTTTTTTTTTCTCGAATTTATAATGCCCAGTGATCGTGGCGATACTTTTTATGCCGGAATTCAACCCCTATATGGTGGCACACACTGGCATTTGGTCTTTAAAATTCGAAAATGATTATTTATCATTTATTTTTAGTTGCCTTTGGTTCGTGGTCACACAAAAAAAACAACACACATAGCTATTATTATTATTAAATTTAGTTGCCAACGAGGACAAAAAAGTCTCCTTTTAAAAATATCATTCTGTTCGTTTATTATTCTTTTTTTTCCCGGATGTAATAATACAGTTAGATAGTATTATAATAAACGTGAAGATTGGTTTAGAATGTGTGTCATGCATTAAATAAACACAGCACAGACGGTGACATATTATAATATAATATGTGTATTGTATATTATACAGAAGATTTTGTTATTATTCCGAAAAAGTTTGCTCGGGCTCGATGCAAACAATATCGCCATTTTACAAGAAATTTTATAACAGTAATAAAAGGTTTTAAACCAATTTGTTTTAAATCATTGTTTGATTAGTTTTAATGGATATTTAAAAAGAGTTCAAACTGCAGTGTACGTGTGTTACGTATAAGCTTATACACAACTGTGTGGTACTGTGGTGAATTTGAAAAAAAAAATCGTCGTTTATATTATATTGATATCGAACAATTTGAGATATAATATATTTTCATGCATAGTTAAGTAAAAAATGAAAATACAACATGCATTATATCATAATTCTCAACTTTTTTGGGTTAACTGATGTTTGATTAAATTGATTCGAAAAGCAAATTATTAACTTAACATAATCTTTATTTACCAATGTAAAAATTTATTTAATTCATTGACATTATTGTATGTTCTGTTACTAACTATTATTAAAATCGATCTAGTTCAGATTATACTTAGTTTGGAATGCTCAAATATTGGTACCAGATAATAATGATAGGAGATTTTTAATATATTATGGTACATTTTGTATGAATAATAACGTTAGGGAATCTATTTAAATAATCTAACTAAAATAAAAAGTGTTATTAAAAACACTTAATAGAAATTAAAAATAGAAACTTTAATTTTGTAATTATTATTACCAAAATGCATTTATATGATCATCTGAAATATCAAAACACCACAAACAATAATTATAATTAATAATAGTTTAACACTTTTCAACTATACCATTTTTAAACATAATTGATAACACCCTAAAAATTAAATTAAAATAAAGTTATAATAAATATCGAAAAAACTCTGTGAAACACGTATTGCACATTGTTTTTGAATTGGTGACACTCAAAACAATATTCATGGCATATTCTGTATTTTCTAATGCTAGCTCCACACTCTCGCCGAGGCGAAGCGAGGCAGCGCGAGCACGAGAGTGTAGTCGGTTCACTCGTGTCGTCTTGTCTCGCCTCGCCTCGCCTCGTACGCGCTCCGTTCGGTGTCGGTATTTTGGTCACGAGTCAAAGGACACGCGGCACGAGGCGAGCTCGCGAGAGTGTGGAGGAAGCATAACAGATAACGTTATGAGATCAATTTACTCGAAACATGTTTTACCAAAACATGTCGGAATAAACCATAACCTTGGGCCTAGAGAACTGATTTGAAACTTGGACATTGAATATGGACATGAACGAAATGTTAACAATTCATATTATTGTAATATGTTACATACTAGCTGATCCTGTGCACTTAGTTGCACGTTAAAAATGACAACTCTAATGAGACTCGTTTGTAATAATGAGAGAATTGTATTACCTGGTATATTGATGCTTACTCTCTATATATAACATGTCTTATTTTTATTTATTTATTTTTATTTTGATTGTGGACATGAGTAGCTGTAAATTACGCACCATTTAAAATGTTTTATGTATATAACCGGTACATGTATATTTTGTACATGCGTAAGAATTTTAAATTACGTCTTATGCTTTTTTCGAAAAACCAATATTTTCCTTCTTATATCAGTATTATTGTTGAAATGTTGTGTAATGCTGATGATTTTGGTAGGATAGAAACCCTAGCATTGTGTACAATTTTTAAAACGAAATTTTAAACTGCACGATGACTGCACTTTTAAGACACCAGTTGTACGTACATATATTATTATAGACATTTTACTATTAACGCCTGTTTATGGACATTTTTCAATGTCAATTACTCTTTGTTAGAGAAATGTTCAGAGTTTCAGATGGGACGGAAAATACATAAAAATTAATTTCTTATTCTATTCGACTTCTAAATTATTTGACAGATAGTGTTTCTGTCGCGTCAATGTCTTAAACACAATCTAATATCGTAACCTAATAATATTTGACATTTGGAACGGTGTCACACAGCTAAGTCCATTGCTGAATATTATAGTATAATATTATGTCCAGGAGCATACTGATGGATAAATACATTACGATTTGGTAATAATTGAGCTTCCCCTTTCCCGATCTACTTCCCGAAAAAACCGATGAGTGTACACAATGAAAGGTTAGATAATGCAAGAACCTAATGATAATATTCAAGTATAGCACAATTGTATAGATAAAGTTGGTCAATTAATTATTATCAATTAGACTCAATGATCCATTTGATGACAGCCGTAGACAATGTACATTTCAGTGACGCGCTGACTGCTGGCTACATTATTATGGTTATTGTGCTCAACAAGTGGTCGTACGACGCACTCGCGTCAAGTATTATCGCTATTATTATTTTCTGAAGATCCAAAATTACTAATTAGTAATGAGCTTTATGCAGAAATCATCAGAAATTATATTATCCGGCTGATTCTATGTATGAGCTTTTCGATGGATCGATTAGGTGGGTCAGGTGCATAGGTACCTAAGGCAAAGTTTTATGGTACAAATACCTATCACCGCCGGGGCGGAGTAGCGTTCTATAATACTCTGATTGTTATTATTATTCTCTACCGACTTCATAGTTAATAGTACTTAACATATTATCATAATATTATGTTACTTATGATTTATTTATGTATGACGTTGACCACGTCGTGTTGTACAAACTGTATTACAGCAAAGCCCACATATGGTTTTCAGACGATCTGTAGAAAATTCCATACTTATATTGATCATTGGTCCTCATAATAATTATAATGTTGTTCTGTTACACCAAACTTTAGAAGTATTTCGGCGATTCGTGGCCATAAATACTATACTACTATAAAGTGTAACAGATTATGGCTAGGGTATATCCAAAAGGGGATGAGGGGATCAGATCCCCCAATACGGGGGACCCATATGGCCTTTTTTTAAAGACATTTTACGAAATTTTATTTTTTATTTTTTAGAAATAACACATACTACTTTTGTTAATATTCATAAAAAAAATGTACTTATTCTATTTTAATACATGGATAGTGGTAATATTCTACAAATTTGATATACGTACAGCACTTACAACTATAATCTATACCGTAGGTAAAGTAGCATTATGCACAAAACACTTGAGGATCTCATCATCACGTCTTGTGGAGAGGACGTTGTTATATACTGTTTTCAGCGGTTCATTGTCAACTCGAAACAAACAAAACAGCCGGCATTCAAAAGTGGTTTTAGAATGATAAATCTAATAAGAAACATGTATATAGGTAGAAATGAGTAGAGGACATTTTTAGGAGACAACTTCATTGATATTTTTTAAATATTAATTGTAAACAATTTAGAATTATTTTTAGAATGTACCTGAATTTATTATTTAGAATATTACAAAACTCCAACCATGGGTTATCTCCGGAATATATAAATTGCATAATACCTAAGTGTTTTCAATACTAAAACTAAAACTATTTTTTAATTACTTTTCTTTTGTTTGGCATAAACATGTTTACGTCGTTATTTTTCATTTTTCATTGCATAAAAGAGCTAAATCCACACCATGATTTAGTAAACCGCAATAGTTGCACTCGTAACAGCAAATATCATAAATTATTATTATAATATATAGCTGATTAGATATATAGGTGTAACTAGATCTTTGTGGTTGAATCTCACCTAAAATTAATATATATATTGATACAATTTTTGTTCATGGCATGATAATTATAGGTACCTTCTTTAAAATGCCTGTTTATTTTTGACATAGGTTATGTTTGTTTCTTTCCCACTAATGGTTAGGACCCCACCCTCCCCCCTTTCATACAAAATGTATGTATACTATAGTCTAAAATACACTAATGCGAAAAAATTATAGTATTCAATATTGTTTATGAATTATTGTACTCATAGTTATCAGCTAATTATTAATTTATAGTGCTATACCAAATGCATCGCAAGAAATGTATAATTATTTTCCAAAACGTTTTTCGCGATATCAATTATACATAAAAAAAAATAAACCAAGCTCGTATAGTTATGTTAAAATTCAAACCAGATTTGTTCATTTTTCATTTTGAGAAGCCAAATCCATCGACCAAAATATTATAAGTTATAACTAATCAAATACGATTAAAATATTGTGCATCGTAACAATAATGTTAAAGTGCTAAATATACAACAGCACTAATGATAATTCGAAAAGTGTTGTTTTAAAACGTATTCCAACTCTGAATACACTCGCTCGTGGTAAACGTTTTAATTACTTACGTTTCTCCATCGCAGTTTGCACGAAACGTCTAACGCCACATCATTGTGTGTACGTTGACACACACACTATACAATAGAGTTTAAATTATTTTATTGCTCTGTGATTGTATGTCTAAACATTTATAGTACAAATTACAATAATAATATTGTTATATATATTTTATGAGCTTTATGCTGCGGGTGAGTCGGATTTATGATATTATTGTACGTTTGAGTCACGCGGTTCGATATAATTTAATATTATTGTGGCTTGGCGTGGCGCGTTCACTGCTACCAGTCGCGAAAGGCGACTGGAAGTATATGTAACGGCCACAGCTACTAGCTATCGGATGGGTGACCGCCCGGGTTCATAGTAGTTAAAAAACATTGTCACACATATACATGTTTGCTACCTACCTGAACAACCGTAAAAATCGTAAAAACAACCTACCGTTTACCAACCTTATCCCTACCACAGTTCATAAACCCTACAAGAGCTAATGGACTTAGTCGCCGGGCTAAAGTTAAATATAAAAAAATTAAAAAGAATAAAAAATATAATTATTATAATTTTAGCGCGGTTTTGGCGTATACAATAAAAAGTTTCAAAATATGCAATCAAAACCGTGAAAATATGTAACACATACACCAAAAAAAAGTGTTTAGTTATTTATAATATGGTAAAAAATGCACAATTTTTATTTGATAATCAATATATTAATAGTTTATAAATTTATGAGGTATTAACATGATTTAAAACAACTTATAATTGGGTATCTAATTAATGAACTAATCTTTATTTCAATTACTATTTAGTGCCTTAAACAGGTATTTTTGAATTTTTAACTTCACGATAAAATATTTTGTATATTATCAACTTTTTTGCTTTTTTTTAAAAATATTTGCTTCAAAATGTTATACACTTTGAATTTCGTCAAAATATCCATAATTATACAATAAGTTTATCGATAAAAAAACAAAATTTCCATAAGTTTCGAACTAATCGGATTTGTAAAGACCACTGACGAAAATACAAAAATGTGAACAGGAAAGAATAGACAATTGTATAAAAATCCGAGCTCTAATTATTATAATATGAATATATTATTATTAATATACTATGAATTTTTACCACATTTCAGTTTGGAAAATAACTTGAAACATAAATGTTAGAAATATATTCTTTTTGTTTTTATAGAAACATAGTAATTATAAGAAACTATTCAAATTTCTGTAGATATTATAAAATTCTGTGAAAATGAGTGTCTCTAGTTTGAAAAAAATGTCCTTGAGTGTATATTATAATACACTCCAAATAATAATACAAGAGAAGTATAATTTTTACATAAAATATTTAGTGTATTCATCTTTGTTAATCATTACAAATAATCGTTAAAGTTTCTTAAAATTATAATCCCCACTAGGTTACTATATATTAATATATTAAAGACGCGTAGTAAATGCTAAAGGTCGTAGTTTAGTTTAATATTATTATTATTATTAATGAATAATGACATAAATCGGGTATTAAAATCACAAATAATATTAAAAATTCAGATATTCGTAATTCAGGTTATTCATTGGAGCCAAAGTAATACAATCTCGTGGATTTATATCCGAAACGCTCGCTAAGCCGGCATTTTGATTACATTTCTTTGAAAAAAACTCCAAGTTATATGTATATTTTTTTTCTGGTCGTTATAAAATTATGCGCAAATGACGAACCTTTACTAGGTAGGAATTTACGTGATTTTTTTTTTAAATAAAACGAAACGCATTTTTTAAAATAGCCCGTAATATATAAAATAATTTTAATCTCGTTGGTTTGCTCACTTATAGCTTAAGTACATTTTAATAATATTATATAATCACGAATCCACAGGTGTAATACTATAATACAATATTTTGGACTATTCCGAAATGTGACATATTTATTAATTCTTTATAATATAGTTGCAATATAATAACTATGCGTAATTTGATATTTATTTACCACGAAGTACGAAAATAATATTGTACGTCATAATACTCATACCTACCATAAATTAGTAGGAATACTGTACGCGCAACGGCAACACAAAATCGAGGCTTTATGGTGATTTAAATATAATATTATAAATTATTATAATATTGTTATAAAATTAAATTATTGAAATCCACTGCCGTACGTCGATAACGACCAATGGGTCCTTACCACCTTCGCAGTTTCGTCCATTTTGTAGCATTTTTAAGACACAACAATGCGTTATCATCGTTTTATTATAACATAATCGTGATAGAGTATTATAGAGGTCAAGTGAGAAAACAATGAAACAACCGTCTTAAGGTTCAATTTTAACGCGTCAGTCAACGCGAGGGAAATAACGCAGATGTTTATCGTGCTAAGGTTCTGCAATGCATATTGTACCTACGATATTATTATATAAACACCGCTGCCAGAAAATTATAGAAGATGAAATTTATTGTTTCCACTTATGCTAAGGACTGAGATTGAATATCAGTACACACAATGCTAACAACAATAAATACAACAAACAATTATCGTCTGTATTTGTTTACGAATAATTCTTATTCATACATTTAATGCTAACTTGGATCAATAATTTTTATATCATGTCAATCAATCGATGATAAAAATACGAATAAGAATAATAATTTGTTATGATAATATTATTATAATATGTGTGCTGTATAATTTCACAGGTGTTGGGAACCGAAGCCATTGACGTCACTGAAGTATTTATTCGGCTGCAGAGGCGGCAAGTGGTGTACAACGTCGCCATCCTGATATTCATAACAGTTCTTTTGATATTTTTTGTACGAGGTAATCAAAAAAACACATAATAATATTATATTGTTTATTACTTTGAACCGATTGTAATGGTTGTTTGAACTTTTCTTTTTAATTCATCCCATCCTTAAAATGTACAGAGTATTTTAGTACATCAATAGTAGGATAGCGAAATTCTGAAAAAAATACACTGACGTCATAGCAGAACCCTATTGACTTATTTTTATTTTAAGATGTGGTAGAAATGCTGAGGACACACTTGTATTTCAAAATACCAGTTTTTTGGTTAAGCATTTAAATCATTAAACACTTTTAAATTTTTTTTTTTTTGACGTCTGACGCCGATTAGCGCAGATAGTTCTTAAGTATAAGTATTTATAAATTATTAGACATAAAAGCCATCAGATGCGTTTATCTTATTCGACTTTCTTTACATCGCCCACCTCCACGATAGCAACAATTAACTGGAGGTACAGAAGGTCAGGCCCTTGAAGACCCAGGATAAGAAAATAAATTATGATATGGTGCTATGGTAGAATAAAAATGTATTATGTCACCAGTGGGGGAGTTACGGATCCACAGACACTGATATACGTATGTATTTAAAAAAGATACTGTAAAAACATATTTATAATAAAAAATACGTTTGGAATACATATTGTTTTTCAGGACCCCCAGCCCCTCCAAAAATGCTTATAAATCTCCCATTGCATATCACTGTGCCAGTAGGCAATAGTTTACCCCGTGCATTTTAATACGAGTAAAATAACTAGATACATCCACTGCCTCTTAACACTTCAAGTATACACTCTCAAGTCGTTTATCCTTACGACTTGTTCTTATAAGTACAGTTTTTTCCCCCCATAATATTATTATCATGAGTACTTTGGGTGCCATTCTAGTACCTAGGTACTTTTATTTTTACTATAAGTCATCAGTACATTTCCAAAACACCCATAGTTAGGTGTTTAAATGAAATCAATATTATAATGTTTTGTATTATTATCGTTTTTGAAACCGTTTACATGGAATGTGCAAAAAAAAAATCCTGACTAGAATATCAATCAAGTTTACGGCTGGTGCTACTCAACATGTTGTTATTGATGTCGGACACACAACTATAATAATATGCAATGGTCTTGCCTCGGCAAAAGCCGGAATATCTACGAGACGACTACGTGTCGGCGTTACTCAATAGTGGGCACACTCGGAGTGTTGTCGGTTCCGGCTTTTGCCCGCAACTTATATAACACATCACACCAACGTAAGTGCTGACAATTTTCTTGTTTCCACAGTGGGTTTGCCGGGCAGTGGCGGTGGTCAAGTGTCCGTAAGCAAAACGGCGTCGACGATCGTGCGGAACTCAAACGCCGCCTCCTCCGGCGCCGACTACGCCAACGGCAGTGGTTCGCCGTTGAAGACCGTTTCCGTCGACGACGACCTTTCGTCGGTGCACGTCTCCACCGCCGATCCGTCGTCAAACATGACGGGTGAAACATTGCACGAAATGTTATATTTACATATACCTACAGTCACGTGTATATATTGTATACCTACCGGTTACCGCGGTCAAGTATATTGTGTACCACTCAGTGTAAAGTGCGACTGTTACCACACTGCATATGGAAAGCTCCTCCCCATCGAGACACCCGCATTCCGCGTTTTCCACTAAATTCCATTTCCGCGAAATTATTTTCCACGACGGAGCGAATCGCTATATTATTATAAAGACGACACGAGTCGTTTCTGTTGCCCTAGCTCAACACTGAACGTCAGAACTCGTTACCATATCTTGGTATTATATGTAGCACTTTAACACCGTGGCGTGAGACTCCTTATTAATTATAACAACAAACAGTGGCGGCCTGAATAGCCATTTTATGAGGCTGCGCCTCGTGCAAAAGCGGCGGTGGGTATCCCAATGACTCCAGTCTCCGGGACCCAAACGGCTAGACTGGTTTGTACTTTGTACATTTTACTCGCATGGTCACTTACGACCTGCGTTTAAAATGTGTAAAAAGTAAAGTGTTATTAAGGGTGAACAATTTTTTGTGTGGGCGCTTATTTGAGGTATTTGCTGGATAGTAAAAAAAAGTTCACGTCGCCACTGAATCACCGACAAAATCTGATCGATTTTTAAAAATCCACCGTCAAGAGGTTTTCGATGCCGAGAGGTATATAGATATATCAAATCAAGACTGCCGTTTAATGTCACTGGTATATACCTACTATTATATAGGTACTTTGATACCCATGCCCAGTATACCCGCACATGCGGTATGTGTAAATATAATTTGGAAACTTCGTGTTGCCGAGGTTTCCACGTGTGGATATAAGATCTATTATATTATATTTGGAGGGGGGGGGATGACGTCAACGATAATTGTTTTTATTTCGAGTGTTATTTATTTTCAGCCACGACTCCGAAAAAAAATAACGTTCCGATCATTCTGCCGAATCCACCGGCGGTTGAAGATATGTACGACGTTGCAGTTTTCAATCCCATGTATCCCATCGTCGACTACCCCAAAAGTAATTTAAACTATACCCGACTCGCGCATTGCAGACGCACACTGTATAATAATATAATATATAAACACAGTATATAATATAATGTAGTTGTGTATACAGTACAATAACGAGATATTTTATATTCACTTGAATGTGCATGCAATTTTGTAATTGAAAATAATGTATAATGTATACGTATTTATAATAATAAACGTTTGCGAGTTTGGTTTGGATTTTTCAGATTCGTATAATATCGTCTACGCTATCATAATATATATATATACAAACATACCTAATATCATTATACACGCAGCCGTGGGCATGTGGTGGCACGGCGGCAATGGTGTATCGAAATTTCCGTTTTCATTATAATAATAATAATAATAATAATAATAATAATAATATGATATACGCTGCAGAGTCGTATAATACCTTTAGGGATTTAGGACGCCGATCGATTGAAAACCACCGACCGGGTCCTACAATAGTGCGGTGTGTAGGTAATATTATAAAATCGAAGATACAGCGCTGGGCGAAGTGCGTCTGTGTACAATAATATTATTATTATATGAGTGTAAGCACAATCGAGAGGAAAAATACGTTTTTCGAAAACCGTAAGGTAACGTCCGCGTTGAACAATAATTGGATTTATTAACGCATCGTAAAACGTCGTCGCGACAACAATGATAATAATAATATTCTCTCGGCGCAATTAATTTCGCATAATAATAAAGGATTGGACAATAATATAATATATTTTAGTTTCGCGAGGTCACGAGAGGGCAAATGTCGAACACAAAAGATTATAGTTTTCGATAAATTCCGTAACGCCATCGCCAGTAGCAGCTCGTTTCGGCATTGAATAAATAAGATTGTATAAATGTATAATATAATATGTACGTATAAACATAAAATGTTGTTATTATAAATTATTGTAACTTCGTATATTATTATTATTATTATTATTATTATTATTTTCTGTTCTATTTTAACGACGATTTCGTGCACTGGAAGGGATTTTTTTTTCGTACATTTCATGCAAATGCATTACGAACAATTATCACGTGCCGGTAAAAATAATATGCACACGTGCCGTTGAAATTACTCCGTAATAATAATGACAATAATAGCATTAGAACTTTAGGGTTTTCACTCTATGGTCTGGTATATTATGATACCTAATTAAAATGTACGTGTATCATATTATTATAATACTATAAAACATACCTGGGGTGACGAAATTGGACATTTTCAGAGGCTAATTTACACTCCGCAGCACTAATAATTCGATAAAAGCGACCTTAACTGAAATATTTGAAACCACGTGTCACGTATTTATTACTAAAATAGTAAAACAGTTACGACTATACTTACCTAATTCTAAAGTATATTATCATCGCCCATTGGCTGTTGGCCTACTTGCCCACCCATCACCCTTTTAGAAAACTCAGAGGCCTCTCAGTTACCCTCTGCCGCGCTACTGAGCCTATACGTTACTTATTTTTATGTAAACGGATTTCATGAGCAGGTCCCGTATGCTAGTAATAACTATAAATGGTTATTCATAAAACGATATTGTAATACGGACGTACTTACACGATTCCGAAAAATCCAAACTTCACTTTTGTCTCACTTCAATTAATTATAGAACAATAGTTATATTACACCATAATATTGCTGTAGCTGTTCATTCACATAATACATTTAAACGCAAGGACAATCGTGGCCATAATAATTATGATATTGTCCGTGTGCAGCGTATCAGCCCTTTTAACAATATTGTAGTCATATCATTTTCGCAGACAAACCACTTGAATATTAAAAAATTATAATAATTAAGATACACTTCAACGTTACGCGCCAAATTATAAAAAAAATTAACCTGGTCGGTTAATACTTTTATTCAGCAGGTACTTGTTCCAAGGCTGCAAGTACATTTAACGAGTTAAAAATTAGTTAATTATATTGAAGTTGGGCGGCGGGTTACTTTTCTTTGATATTATTAATAACGTTTTAATGTTTACCCCTCCAGAGATTTTTAATAACGTTTTCGGTGCAAAATAACTAGTTATTTTTCATTTAGTGATTTTTTTTTTATTCTACCGAGCTAGAAATAATATATATTATATATTATGTTATTATAAAATAATTAATGTGTTTCTTTTTTTTATTATGATATTCATGAAACAAATATTTACCTATTTGTTCGTAAAAAAAAATATATATCAATAACTCAAACAGATGAAGACTAAGTTGTATTCCTCTTGTCAAAAAATAAAAGTAAATATTTACGAGTTAAACACCAATCGGTAAAAAAATTTGGTTTAAAAATACGCTGTGCATGGTTTTACAATATTATTATTATTTTACAACTTCATAATTATTTAATAGCAATTTAAATGTATTTTACGTAGAATAATTAATTGATCACACACACGTTGTATTTTATTTTTGTCACTAATGCACAATTTTACTGCACAGGCACTTGCCTACCGTCTTTTTGTCAAAACGTCACGTCCACCTTACCACAGTACCTGTACACTATACCTTACAAGCCAGAATACGTAATTATTATTACAAATTATTGCCATCAGATAAGACTCGAAAGAGAACATATTCGAATAGTGTGTGTGTGTGTGTGTGTGTGTGTGTGTGTGTGTGTGTGTGTGTGCGTGCGTGTGTATCCGTGCGTGTGCGAGCAAAGAGACAAAATGACGGCGTGACCATTTATTATATTGAGAAACTACTGACAGCTTTGAATCAAATTTAATGAATATTTTCATACAATTTTCAATATGTATTAGCCATTAGGTACATGCGTGTTGACTGTTTTATTTAATCAATTTCGTTCACTGTCCAGTGAATAACGAATTACATACAACATCATAGTTGGCTCTCGTACATTAGCTTGTGACATGATGTGTTGGACTCCAAAGTTTTCTTTATGACAGATATATCAGAGTTGTCATCGTTTCGATTGGGATCCTGACTTCCTGATTCTGATTTGGTATCATTCCCGTTGTCAATTATGATAACGACAATAATAATAAAAACATATTCTGAAGACCGACACCGCGGGTTCAAATATAATGTTCTCTTTCGATTCGAATTACGATTGGATTGTACTTTGCTGTCAAAACGAACGTGCACTAATCAACTAAACTTGCTTTTATGGTATAAAAAGGATCCCAGGGAGCTGATAGCGCTGGAGTCTGTGGTAAACGTCCGCTGCTACGAGCTGACGGCACTGTACTTTTGTGCGCTTCTCGCGTCCAAAGGCTGTGGCAACCGCAAATTGAAGCCTTGTCAGTCGCTTTGTAAAGGTAAACAAATGTATATACCAAATTCTAAAAATAACATATACCTCCCGTAGGCATTTCTTTGAACTCGGAACACTTTCTGTCTCTGTAGATTTTCTGGTTTAAAAAATGTATTTTTCGGTGTCTACTTCAACCCCGTGTGCTATGAGCCTAAAAATATTTAACAGGAGTTTTGTCTTCGTATTTTTCTAATAAAACAAACTATAAGTTCTTAACTTTTTATATATTAAGGTAAAATAAATAAAACATTGAGCCAGTTTTAATTTTATATAGTAGGTTAGGTGCTCAAATGTACAAAGAGCCGAATAAAGTATATTATAAGAATTCAAATTTTAGATATGAAGAATAATGATACAATACAAAATATTGATGATATAAGTTTATAAATAAGAAACAATTACCCAGTTCAATATTTTAAAAATAAAATATTTAATATTCAGAATGTTAAAATGAAAATAGATTTATCGAGTCACGTTTATTTTGACTAATAAATAACAAGGTTAATAATAATATTTACTATATTATAACAAATTACCAACTATAAGACATTTAGAGGTTTATCTCAAATATTTATAATAAGTAGATGAGTAGATAGGTACTCTAGGAACGGATAGTAATCGACTATACATAATAAATAATACTTTCGATTGAAAATAAATAATTTAAAAAAAAAAGCGATATGGTAAAATCCATTTTGCGATCCTCGAAAAAATCGGTTAAATAATATTTAATATTTTCACGTTTCCGCATTGGGCTGGGATGGACTTTTGAACGCTACACAAAAATATTGGTCACTTCTACAATAACATGCCGATTTTCAAACCACAGAGACTATTCGGAGCTGCGGTTTCTTTTTTGACATATTCGAAGCGTACCACGAACACCGGGAGTGCACGCAGTTCCCGAACGACAACAACAATCCTAACACGTTTTGCATCGGACACCGGGAAGTAATCAACGTCAGGAAAATGAAGCTCAGAGGACGTGAGTAACAAAACATTTACTATAACAATGAATAATATATTAGTAGGCATTGAGAGTTTAATGCGTTGTTATTGCTATACCTATATGACACTGGTCACGTGATTGTTTTCCAACGTGTGTTAGGTAAGGTTGTAATATAATATATAAGGCTGCTAAAATGTATTATAGGTACGAACGTTCTGCAGATTTGTCAGGATACTGCCACATATTACTACTGCAGGCGTATTATATTGCGGGCCTTGAAACAATAATATTACAGTTTTGGTTCAAGCTTAGGTTTTCAAAATTTAATTTTTTTTTTATATTCCGATTTCCATTTTGGTCATTAAAAGAGTCCAGTATAGTTTTTAATGAATACCGATGAACGATAGTATTTAAATTTTAAAAGGTGAGGTATAAGTTACATTGTTAAAATAAGATTACGAAAGAATAGTGTTAAAAATGTTAACGTTATGTTTAATATAAACTCCTAATACTTAGTTTATTGCAATTTGTACAAAATATATGAAAAAAAAATCATAAAATAATAATGAACATTTACCTAACATTCAGGTGTTCAGCCAGAAGTGTTTGAAGGGGGCTGTTTAATTTTATAATTAAATAACACGTTTAAAGACATGCAGTGCCCATTGTAATCGTACATCTTCATAATATCAATAATGAAATAGAACCAAATGGTAGTATACGAGAGCAAATTTTGTATAAATCAGAATCATAAATAGTACCTACATATATTGTTTATATAAATACAACCAGTGTTGTTAACAACATCCAAAACACTTCCCTCACTACGCCACTGTTAATATTTGTTTCCGAATAGGAGCACAAGACATAAACTATTTTAACTTGAAACAAAATGTTCAATTCTAAGAATAATAGGCTTAACGTTTCTACTCACGTGTCACATTATTCAATGTGGAATTGAAAAAAATACCCGAGAAGTCATTCGTCAGGGCTCACGGTAATTGTCTATCCTATGTTTGGTTTACACAATAATTTAAGTAAATTTAAAGAATATATTTTCTAATTTTCGTACCACATTGTGAAACGATAAATGTTCTAAAGTGTTAAAGGTTATTTTTTTTTAATATTTAAAATGTGTATCAAAATAAATCGACGCGCCACGCTGTTATATAACTACAATAATATGATGTACGTAACGAAAATATCTCTTTAGTATTTTTAATATTAAAATGCTCATACTCCTATCGTCTTTAGCAGAAAATAAATATCAATTTCTACATAAATCAAACATCAAATAAAAGTTTTTAGGTTGGTAAATCATTGTGTATACATCGAGCAATAAGCTTTAGATAGGCGATTATGCTGAGCCCAGCCCAGTGACGTTATGTGGTTATTAATATATCTCCTCCTTTGATTAAATATATTCTTTTAGATTGCAGAATTTTGACAAATTTGTTTTTGATAGTTCTTACTGCAATGATTTAGAATTTAATAATAATTTGAAGAATACTTTTTTTGTGTTTTGCGCTTCTTAAGATTACTAAATCACTTACAATATGTTATAGATAATTAATTATCTAAGTTCAACTGCTGAAATTACATACCAACCACATTCACGATGAAAGTCGTTTGATTAATTATTTTTAGGTTTACGATATTCAGTACCATATCAGGTGATTGGAAAACGTGTGCATAGTAATTTTAGTCTCGTAAATATGACAAATATTATGTCGCGAAATCCGTAGGTAATAACGATAATTATATCTCACTCGGTTTTCAGTAAAGGCATACTATTTACTTACAGTACCAGTGTACACAAACCATTAATCCGGCAAAATGCACCAAGACGAATTGAAACGTTTAGAAATTAATTATAGGTAGGTACGGCTGCCGTGTTGTACAAATAATATTATGGAAACTGTAAGATATACAACAATTCGTTGCATTGAGATTCCGTTCCGGAATAGTTTTCCTACTTTAATTAATGTCGTACGAACAGAATGTTAGGCCATTTTCACGCATGTCCTTTCCTTCGTCCGACCCTCTGAATCGGTACAAATGGAGTGTAAACGCCATTGGCTTGGTGGCGACGACTATCGTGTCGCTAACGAAATATTATAATAAAATGAATGTCGTTCGCGTGTAATACCTATATTATAAGTAGCATGTTACTAGGTATAAATTCTCTGCAGGGAAAAATGAAAATTGAGGAATAGTGTAGTTTTTATCTATGTACGAGTAGATAGTGCAGTGGACTAGTATCAAGTAATTAGTGTCATATTATATGATGTATTTTGTAATTAGGAATAACTAAATTAATATTTTTGCTTTTATTGTTGATTTGCGTTTCTTTGGCAACAAACAAATATTGGCCTCTCAATAATCGGTTGGAAAAAAAAGTTATATCCAGCCCAAAAACACATATTCTATGATAGTAAATAAACGAGCATTACCTAGGTATAAATGTATAATATTTACTTATTATACTATTATTAGTGGGTAATTCGTTTTTTTTATTGTCAGAATAACTGCCGGTGTATACAATATGAGACATGAGTACGAAAATATGTTATGATAAGAGTAATATATTTTTTATTTTTATTTATTTATTAAATTATTATTGTTTATTATATTGATTATAAACGTTTTGAGTTATTTTATTACACAGAGAAAGTATTGAAAGAGTTACCATCTTTCTATCCTTGAAAACCTCCTCAATTATTTATATTACACGGTTTTTGTAAAATAAAACTGTTCACTTTGTTTAATTATCGTAGTGAAAATATTCCCTCTCGACAATATTTAAATCATTCCTATTGTCATAAAAACAAACTGTTTGTCCATTTATTTAATGGATTTCAAGCTGAAAATGTCTCGTCGAGCGAGCGCCACTACTCCGTTCTGCAGGTTTAATTCCAGCCGTCGTGTCCTCTGGCCGTCTGTTTTTATATATTGAGTGGGCAATAATCAACCTCCGTCGATTTCCGTCCAATTCCTAAGCCTGCAAAACAATATAATTACGCCACAAACACATATTACGAACGTTACATTTCAACATTAACTGGCATTAAGTACCTACCTACGGCGTAAACACGTAAATTGCAAACGTCTAATCGAATTCTTCGGGTCTAAATTGAATGCTGTTTTCTAATATCCTAAACGTACTTATCAATCAAAAGCTACTCTCTCGAAAGGTATTGAACACGACTATCGAGATGTTTGTGTATGCCCGCAATGTTTTGTTCAAATAGGTATGTAGGTACTATATGTGTGTTGTATTACGGCGATATCATCAAAACAACGATAAACCAGTAATCAGATAAAAACAATGTAATAAAAAAATAAAAATGTGTAGATCTACGAATAGAACAGTGTTTATTTATCAACACTAGGGATATACAATTCCCGAGAACATTATGCAATTAAGGAAATTCTAAAATAATTCCCCGAGAACGTGTGAAAATGTATACGGACATCATACTGAACAAATACGTACTGTGCAAACGAATTACAGTTCAAGCGTCATAAGACTAAATTAATAATGGTTAATTCCATTTGAATGTCCAAGTTTTTTGCTAAATTTAAATTTGAAAAAGCACTTAATATATTACACTGCATGTAAATATAAAAACAAAAAAATTAGATTTCAATTGTAATGCGTATATATTATGTACCTATATTGGCGGAATTGATATGTCCCATTAAATTTCTCAGATTTTTATTACACTTGATACAAATAAATAAATAAACAATTAACATTGTAGATACTAAATAACGATTTAATCAAAAAAAAAACTTGTATAACCATTAATAATAAATTTTCAATTTAAATTGAATACATCAATACATGCAATCTACGAAATAAATCAACCTTTTTTATTTGTTTAATATTTAAAAAAAATTAAACACTCAATACTGTCACTGTTAAATAAATATACTGGGAGATTTTTGAGGGAAAAGGTAATATACTTTTGTATCAACAGATTTAGTTTATACTAATTAAATATATTTAATTATTACCACCTTAACCTAACATTGGAAATAATATTTAAATCCTATAATAGATTTTTGAACAGTTGGGACGGTTAGGTCGGGACACATATAATATGCATATATTATATATAAATCAAAATAAAATACTAAAATGTTTAACTTCAAAGCACACGTCGACATTCATGGTAATCAGCAAATAGACAAAAGACTACACTATGTTTATATTATTATATTGATATTTTTTTGCGTTTCTAGCAGGTACCTCTTACAATAATCATTAATAATTATTATCAAAACATTAGTGTGATTTTTTTATATTTTCCTCATTCCTCTCAAAATCTAACAACTACTTTGAAAGGTTTCATTATTCAGTATTTGAATAGTACCCTTGTAGCCGGGTGTTAGTTTCTACTATTCTGAACAATATCACTCTATATTTCTGCTAAACATATTAAGCATACCTAATGATAAATATAACTAGTAATTAGTAACTACCCAGTGGCCAGTAGTGGCTAGTGGCTAGTAGTGTTTTATAATACCTATACATACATTTTGAAATTATTATAATATTATATAAAATAATACATTATTATTATTATTAATTATCCATCAGTCATACTTATGTAAAAATTTCAAAAATCAATTTATTAGACTGTCTATAATTACAAAAAATAATTAAATAATTTTACCGTTTTTTACATTTTTTAATCTATGATACTTGTAGGTATTCTCGGGAACTTCAGGTAGTTTGAAACCTAATCAACACAGCGATGGTGCTTCCTAAATAAATTATGTTCAAAACTGTTATTGTAACTCTCGATTAAACGCTCTTATGTTTTCATTGTGTCACATTATAATTATTGTTTTCAATTGGATAATATTATTATGTTATTTTTATGAATAACTTATTTACAATTTACTAATTTTATTTTATTTCTTTATGCTGTTTCGAGTTTAAATTCAATGAAAGTTTTAAAACTATATTATATTTTGTATATTAATGTCACAATCATCAAACTATAAATTACGATCCTGAAAATATTATGAAAGTATAAAACCAATATTTAGAACACGTTTTTTAAACTTTTTTTTCTATTATTTCCTATTATAATAAAAGTAACATAGTTAAGTATTTCTGTAAATTAAAATAATAATTTTTTATCTTCATATAACTTCATTATCTACTTACTTATTTATTTTTAATTTTTTTTTAAAATATAATATACACAATACAAATTATAATGGAAAACTCCTAAAAATGTGGCACCGACTCTTGTATAATAAATACATATGTAAATCTAACATTTTGGGTTGTCATTTCTGGTGTATGTTCAATAATTATGTAAATATTGGTAACTGCGTGACGCGTGAACTTTGATAAAATAAATTTAACTACAATAATCTATGATTTTAATTGAGACTTTTATTTTTACAAGCACCCTACGGCTCACACTACTATATTATCTAAGCTAATATAGGTACTCTGGGTTAAGATGCCATAATATTCATATTAAGTGAAATCAACTAAATTTAAATATTTATAACTTGTGTATAGAAATATTATAGTATTTAACTTCCGTGGTTATATTTTAGTTGTATGCTGCCATTTGCCCAAATGGGTCATCATTCTTGTGATGAAGACGTGTTGTGAACAAATATTTATTATTTGTTCACGGTCTGTTGACATTTCGCCCCTGTCTAATAAAACCCCAAATGAAGCAACGAAATATAACTATTATTATTTATTATTAATAGAAGGAAATTTACGGACCTGCTAATGACGTATCACTCAAAACATTTTAGTTGAAGCAAGGTGTCTTATATTTTCAAGGGAAATTGATTCATTTGTATATTATGTAATATAATAAGTCATTATCGTATACTTGAAAAAATACATCTTGAAATCTGTTATACTACGTTAACATTTAAATCTGTATAGTTTATTTACAGTGCATTGTTTTTGATGTAGGACTTATGCCCATTAGACCGAAATCTTATTATACTTTTAATAATACGGAGTACATTGTGTTTTGTAATGCAATGTTCACAGAAAGATTTTGTTTTAAGTGAATACTCTCTACGAATCTCATTCGACGCACGCAAAAAACATTTCCATTTAAGTACGTTTATTAAATTAATTTTCATCATGCACAGTTAATATTGTGTAAATAAAACGGGCTACTAATTCTCTATATATATTTATAGTACGATGCAAATAAAACGTTTCCACTGTCGTATGCATTATTATAATACAATCAAAATAATTATAATATATGATATTATACACTTTAAAGTATGTATGTCTCACTTAACTTCCGATTAGCTTAAGGGTATTTAATAACTTGTACACTCATACATATTCGATCAGCAGCTATAAATTAAAATGTCATTATATTATTGAAGAAATAAAATTGTCAGATATGTTTTGCTTATCGAATGAATATTACCTATAGAATTATATTACGTTTTGTTTGCAGTTTGCCACGAAGGATTTAAGTGTGACAAAAAGAGATGTATCCCGATGGATTGGAAATGTGATGGCCATTTCGACTGTGAAGATCATACCGATGAATTGAAATGTTCACAATGCCCAGGTATGTATTTTCTTTTTTTAATTATACTATCATTACACCTAAAAATATCCGTGCACTCATGCGTCAACGAATTTTATGTCGGTATAAAATGTATGATTGTAGTCTTATAGACAAAACAAACATACGAGTAGTATCCACGCCTTCATTTTTTTGCTTAACCGCGACATAGGGGTGCAGTACTTTCACAAGACTTTCTCCTCTGTAGTATCATTTATTGCAATAAAAGTAACAAAAATAATATATACAATACACATTGTGGAAAGCTCTGCAACTGTCATCTCTAGCGCTTGGCTGGTTTGTATGAGCAGCCCTCAGATATCTGACGGACATAAATCTTAATATGATATTATATGGAAGTCAGGAGGGGAATGCCTTGCCGTACCAGACCTTACATCATATTTTAATCTTCCATTTGTTATCCCGAAAAAGTCTTCTCTGTCCGACCAGAGAACATCATCCAAGACTTATTCTGCACGACGTAGTCCTCTTTCCTATGATAAATATACCTAACCTTCGAGATTTTAAATTAACTGATTCATAATATTGTCATAAATCATAAATCAATATTTTATATTAGTTTAATAAATTGTATAAGGTTGTTGCGATGTAGATATCAAGTGTAGTCGTGATGAATCGTATTTTTTTTACCTCATTTTAATATTAATGTAAATTTGAAAAGTTATTTATAATCAAAGTTCAGACATGCATTGTGTTTGTATCGCCTTTTTCATACTTATATTTTTCATATATGGAATTGAATACAATAGTATTATTAACTATACATTTTAAAGACTGTAATATTTTAATACAACAGAAAATGTTATCAACTTATTTAGTAAAACGAAATTAATAATATTTAATATACAAATAGTATGTTTGTTGTGTTCTGACAAATATACTAATAATTCAACAATTATTCGTGGTTAAATAATTTAACTGAAATTAAAATTTAAAACTTTAAGTACCATGAAACAATTTTAATTTAAAGATTTTTTGAAAATGAATGTTTATGATATATATATTTTTAATGGTCAAAATAAATTGAAAATTCACATTCCCAAACCTAAATGTGTAAGTTAAAATCTAATCAGCTTTCAAGCCATTCAACTTTTCTTATGTCCTCGATTGGAATAAATATCAACCATTTTTTGGGGTTCACAAAATAATTTTCCATAAACTTAATTTTGTTTTTGTTTATTTTGGACAGCTTTTGTTTTTATCTTAGTTTGAAAAACTAAGTTTCTTTACTTGGAATATAATCTGATATAACATTTTAAGAAAATTGTCCTCAACAAAAAAATTTAAATTTAAATGGAATAATATTTATCACGATAGATGATAGATTATCGATTTTGTCGGGATGGAGCTTCGAAAACATATGAAATTTCGATAGCTTTATTTAAATACATCATTACTAAGTTTATACTCGTGTGGTTATCGTAACCAACTTTCTATCCAAAGTCAATGTAAACCTAAAGTATTTAAAATCAATGATAATAGGTAGGTATACAAATATTTATACAAATTAATAATATGACAGTTTATATATATATATATATATATATATTTATATGTATATACATATATCATACGTTATATTATTACAGCTCAGTATAATAATAATATGTTAGTATAGCCGCGGCAGGTATACAATATACATAGGTACGCCGCAGATACTCGCAAGACAATGCGAGGGGAAAGCAAACTTATTATATACATCGTGTAAAGTTTTCTCGGTGAGTAAGGAAATAGCGGTGAGACCCTGTGAGGAAAAAAAAAGAATCAATATATTAATCCAGCGAAAGTTTTTCGCGCACAAATCGCGAACACCGGTGACCGAGACGATGAAACTACACCACTCCCCTACACGCGTGTCTAAGTATATATAGGTATTATAATATAGGTATATACACTATATTATGTACATCGATATAGCTGGTCGTTGGAACCGAGTCGTTTTATATACGCACATAAATACGCAGATATATAATACGGTCGTAACCGTGGTTATACGACCGGCGCGTGTCTCGGACAGTGGCAGAGTTGTGCGTTCAGCTCGACGTACGATTTGTCCCGTGCCAAATGTTCCGGCAAATGTCCCGATGTGCGGACCAAACACGATGGACGATGGGTCGTATAGTTAGCCACGGTCATCCGACGTTTTATATCGCACCGACTTTTGTGCGATCGACCATAATAATACTACGTAGCACATACTGCGTATAATATACTTACACAGTGATATCACATCGGTAAGTCGAGGTTTTCGCCGAATCGTCATCGATAACACTGATAACACTGGTTTAACTGATAGCACGCCATCATACAATACCATTATAATACGTGATATTAATCTTACCTATATCAAGAGGACGTGATACCCGCATGTGTTGTCTCCGTCTTACAAGTGCGTAACATAGTACATTTTACGCTCAGCAGAACACGTGTAGCTCCGTTAGTTTAAAAATTAGTGCGTGTTGACCTCTTATAAAATCTAAAGGTAAGATTATTATCTAGTCAACATCATAGGTTTTTTATTATATTTTTATTTTAACGCGAGTTATGAGTATTTTAAAATTGTAAATTTTTTATACTTCTTAAAATACTCATAACGCGCGTTAAAAATTAAAATATAATAAAAAACCTATGAGGTTGACTAGATAATAATCTTACCTTTAGATTTTATAAGAGGTCAATACGCACTCATTTTTAAACTAACGGAGCTACACGTGTTCTGCTGAGCGTGAAATTTGCTATGTTACGCACTTGTAAGACAGAGACAACTCGTGCAGGTATCACGTCCTCTTAATTGTAATTTGCGTTAACGCAATGATGATTACCCTGTGATGGTCATGATATTCTTACAATATGCTCGTGGCTATAACTTCACATTAAAAAAAAAAAAATGTATAATAAATCGCAATAAACATTATTTTATTAAGAGCACTATATGCTTACAAAATATACATACTCAACAGTATCTATTATAATATTATTTCACTGTCGTTCAAATTAAATCTAGTCGAAAGAGTGGCCGGCCGATCCCTCAGTTGGTTCAAAATATATGCCTCACAAAATCATTCGAATTATAAAAATATATTATATTATATGGTGCGATTTCACACGCATGTAATGCTATCATTAATAATACATTATTGTATAATGTTATTACATGGTGCAGTCGATATCGCGGATGAGTAATAAACATTTTAATTAAACCACCTATTCTCTTCACACCACTGCTGAATCCGATTGTGCGATACATTGTGTATACACAATACCACATTATAATACCTACCTACACGATTCCGAGGGGGAATAAAAAAAAATGAGAGAAACGAATATTATTTGGTTGATTGATGTGAGATGATACACACGACAGAGAATCAGATTTTGTGATTTTCATTAAATTATTATTTATAATAATATTGCATCGCGATTTATATTAATTACAATGTACGATTTCAGTTGTTGTGAATCGCTTATCAACACGTCAGTCATTATTTAAATTCCTTGGCCCGCAGGTACCGGGTGATTCTTTTATCATTCAACACTCATTATTTCAAAAAAATGTAAATGTATTGGAAACAAAGAAACTTATGGTTTCTAGTCGTTTAAAACAATATTTTTAATGTATTTTATCTTCGTCATTTTAAAAATTCTACTTTTTCGAACCACTGCCCGATCCTCTAGTCCAAACTGTAAGTATTTATAACTGATAAATCTTAATTTGATTTTTATGTATCGAAATATTTAGAAAAATATCTTGATTTGGAATATGAAATTATAATAAGTATAATATGTTGTCATTCAAAAAGTAAAAAACTTAAAGAATATTGAAGATCAAAAATATATATTTGTTAAGATTATTGTTTTTCAACCAGTAGAAACCATGTACATTTTTTTTTCCAAAAATTGTTAAACTTTTAGAAATAATCAGCGTTCAATGACAAAAGAATGAACCGCAGTTATGTAATACTCGTAGATTACGCGTGTTATAAACAAGTGCGCACTAATTATTCACTTGAGTATAATTGAGTAGTTATTGTAAACCAAAATAATACTGTGTAATACCGATTAGCATTCCAAAAACAACCATACCATATATGTATATATTTATCTAATACTATAATAGCTAACGACACTCCATGGTATTAGAGTAGACTTCGATCGGCTCACGCATGATGTTTGGAGTGCAATATATTACTTATATGACTACATATTTTAAAATGTTTAACATGGATTTACTCCACCAACGTGCATAATAGTATACAGGTAAGATATGTCAACAATTATATATAATAGTATAGTACTCGACCGACAAAAAATTATAAACATTTTATTTTTCTCGCAAACGATTTTTAGTTTTTCTGATGTTGCCAATTACAAAATATAGTACCTATGCTTCTTAATAAACGAGCTGTAGATAATGTCATAATATAATATAATGTTAAACGAAACAACTGTTATATTGTTTGTATTTTTATCAATCAAGTATAAAGTGCAATTGAATAAATTGAATTCAATCAATTTTATTGTAATCAAGACAATCAAAAAACTTTGTGACGACCATTGACATTTAAACTTCTGATCAAAGACATCGGTGTTATAGCTATTGGTTTTCAGATGATCTTGACTTTATATGTTTTAGAGACTCTGTTTGGAGAATTACAGAGAAAGTTTTTTTGAGCTTAGATAATAAACCCTTGTCTTAAGAGTTCATATTTTCAAATTATATTCAGTTGTTTAGGAAATTTCTGGTAACAGGGCAAAAACAATATAAAACTTTAGGGGGATTTTCTTAAAAATGAGTTAACATTTCAAGATTGAAAACGATTTTTATTCGGGTAATATTGACTCAAAACTTTCATGGCACATGAAGTAGGTACTACTACGTCATAAAGTTTCACATTTGCTCGTATATTGGTTATATAATAAAATGTGATTTCCAAAAGTTAGGTTAGGACTTATTTTACTTTACTAAACACAGCTCATGATAT